AACATCAATAATAACAACAATACTAATACTCGTCAACCGGTTGTAGCATCTACTGGTGGTGCAACAACAACAATTCTTTTCTAATTTTTCTTTCGAGTATTCAATTGATTATGAATTTTTACTCTTGTAATATTTTGTATTTCTTAATTATCACATAAGGTATTTCGATTTTCGTCTATATACATGTGTATGTATATATAGGCAAATTTATTTGTTTTGTCAAATATTGATATATATATATATATAGTAAAATAAAAACAGTTCCTGAGTATTAGAAATGGGACATATAATTACAAGGATAACGAAAAAAATTAAAAAAGAAACAGCATATTATATCAATATTTGAGTGAATTTAAAGAATATCAAATCAATATATTCATCACATTAAATGAGTTAATGTCGTTGTTGTACTGTCTGTATCTTTTCGTGTTGATCCTACTGTTTTTGTTTTTGTTGTTGTTGTTGTTGTTGTTGCACCACCAGTAGATGATACAACAGGTTGACTAGTATTATTATTGTTGTTATTATTACTGTTATTATTAGTAGTTAAATGAACTGTAGCTGAATTTTGTTGACGTACATTTTGTATAAAGTCCTATAATATCAAATAATAATATTTATTTGTATGAATGCCAAATGTTATATCATATATATATACATATGTATATATATTTTCTTCTTTTTAAACACCTGCTGGCCTATTTATTCTTACATCTTGCATCAATGAACAAAATTCCATCATGATGTCTATTGAACATATTCGATTTCATCGTTTATTTTCTTTCCAACTGTGAACTATTTACATGAGAGTATTTTATCCTTGACCTGATCTCTTTTGAAAGAGACTAATGATCGAGATAAATATAACCTATCGTTGTTGACAACTTCTGCATGTGTATAATATGCTCGAGTTCATATATATATATATAGAAGATAAGTTGTCCGGCTGTAACTGGGTGTGGGTGTGGTGTGGGTGTGGGTGTGGGCGTGGGTGTGTGGTGGGTGTGGGTGAGGCGTGGGTGTGAATTTATTTCTTATTTTTAAAACCCACACCCACCCACACCACACCCACACCTTGACTCCAACATTTGTAAGAATAACAATTCCAATTACACATCAACACTATAAACGTGCAATACACATTTTTCGAATGCAACTACTACAAGATGAAATCAAAGCAAAGAAGCGCCAACTCACAACAAATTACAAAACAAGCAAAAATCTATTGTCACTGTTGGAAAAAGAAATCACAAGTCTCACACTATTGAGAATCAAAGCAGTCTGCAGACAACTGGTCAAGCAAAAGTCAATCAAATGGGAGAAGACCCATCAAGAAAAAATTGCAAAAGTGAGAAGAACAAAACCTACTTGCTTACAACAATCAACTCATCAAAGGAAGCCTCAAAATATCATAACAAACCTTTCAAATCGACAACTATCTACGGAAGAAACATCTGTTCACGAACACGGTCTAGATTTCGTACTTCCACCTACTCAATTCAACGACCGCATATTTATCTCCAATATTGAAAATTACTTTGTAAACTTATTAGGGTATGCAACCGATACACACGACTACGAAGAGAAAGAAGAAAATGAAAATATCAAATACAACCTTACACCAACTCAGCTGGAATATGCGAACAAGATAAGATCCACGTACAATACCTTCAAAAGAACAGTGATGAAAAACATAAAAAACGAACACCAACAAATACGAAAGACCAAACAAATTTTAAGAAAACTATCACAAGACAAGACAATAATGATTACACGTCCTGATAAAGGACGCAGGGTAGTAATCCTCAACAAGCAGGACTACATAAATAAAATAATCAACATCCTGTCTGACACAGCTACATTTGAAAGAGTAGAACAAGACCAAACAATAAAAAAGGAAAATCAACTGAACACCAAACTACTCGAACTAAAGAATGAAGGCTACCTTACACCAGATGAATATAGCTATGCCAGATCGAGAGGGGCCCAACCTGCCCGCCTCTATGGGTTACCAAAAATCCACAAGAAAAAGGTTGACGGTGATGGTATGTTCTCTATTCGTCCTATCGTATCGTCATCAAAAACCTACAACTACAAACTAGCTAAACTTCTTGCAAGGAAGTTGAAACACTTACGCCTTAATCACAATACTGTCAAGGACACATTTTCCTTTATGGAATGGCTACACAAACTAGAAATCGATCCACAGGAATACAAAATGCTATCTTTCGATATCACGTCACTGTTCACGAAGGTATCTATCGATCGAACCATCGAACTAATACTTGAAAAACTATATGGAAAGAAATATACATATCTGTTCAGTATTGAACCTAAAGAAACATGGTGCCCACAATGCAAACAATGGCAACATATGCAACAATTACTGGAAATGGCCACCAAACAATCACATTTTCTGTTCAATGGTAAAACCTATCGACAACGCAACGGAATCGCAATGGGCAGCCCACTTGGGCCGCTCTTTGCCGACATATACGTCGAGTACCTAGAAAACAAATACATGAAACGAATCCAAAAAAATGGCGTTCTACACTACAAACGTTTTGTTGATGACACCTTTACACTTGTACATAAAAACACGGACAAAGACAAAATCGTAGATATACTGAATAGCTACGACAATGAAATCCAATTCACATGTGAAGAAGAAAAACAAGATTCTATATCATTCCTTGATGTCAGAATCAAACGCAATCACCATCCTTCAACACCATTCACCACAAACGTTTACAGAAAAAATACCTTCACAGGTCTTCTACTTAACTGGTTCTCATATGTACCTAAAAGTTACAAAGTAAGCACGCTAAGCTCCATGGTATATAGAGGCATAAAGATTTGCTCTACTTTCCAACTAATCACGGAAGAATTTGATTATATACGTGAGCTTGCAGCTCAAAACAACTACCCAATAAATTTCACCGAATCAATAATCAGAAAGACACTCAACAGGTACTACCAACAAGAAAATAAAAAAAGGAAATCAACCACGAACAACACCACCAACATGAAAAAAACCGAACAAATCTTCATTGATCTACCATACTTCAACAAAACAACAGAACAATTGGGTAAAAAACTGATAAAAATAGCAACATCAATTCGCCCCCAATTGTAAGTCCAACCTATACCAAGAGCACCACCATCGGTCTCAACATACTTCACAGTCAAAGATGCAATTCCAACTCAACTCCAATCAAACGTTGTGTACGAAATAAATTGTCTTGAGTGTCCAGCCTCGTACATAGGAAAAACCGTACGTCAAATTGAACGACGTACTCATGAACATGGTAAAGCACTCACAACCAATAACAATGATCAATCAACAACAACCAGCTCCCAACATACCTTGAATCGACCAAAACGAACCACCAAACCTATCGAACGTTATGGCATTGACTCAAACTCACCCTACCAAGAACAACCAAAACAACAACCAAATATCCAACCTAAAACAAGTAAATCGGCTCTTGGTAAACACACAAACGAACAACAACACCAAATTGACTGGGACACAATCAAAATACTCAGCAAGGACACCAACGACTATCGCCTCAAAATACGTGAGTCCATTGCAATCAAACAACACAACCCAACTCTCAACCGAACTGTAAACTCAGTTCCCCTACTCATTTTTCCGGAAGGGATACCAACCATGAAACCGAAACACAAAGTAAATAAAGATAAACACCACATAAACCAACAGTGACAATCTGACACACCCGCCACGGGAGCCTTGCGATAAATAAAAGCTTTTATTTATCTCTCTCACTCTTTATTGGTGGTGTTTGTAACTAAATCTCATTCGTTACGGACGAACAATAATAGAACACTCTTTGTTGCTACACAATATATAATATCTAGCTTAGCTTTAACATTTTTAGTTTAGACTATACATTTCTTGATAATGAAGATTTAACTCTTCGAAACGTCGAACTCACTATAATATACATATTTGTAAATATATTTGTAAATATATAAATTGTATATATATATAAAAAAAAAAAAAATAATAACTAAAAAGTAACGCTATAACTTTAAAATATGCTATATGCTGCTGTAAAAACGATAATATAAATCTGTGGTTGTTCTGTGTTAGTCCAAAATTATCTACTGCACACGTAGATCTCGCTTCTTCATATTTTCTATATTAGAAAATGGAGAACACAAGCTACAATTTAATCGTCGAGCCACTATTCCTCAGTGAGCCTGAAAAGTAACAAGTGAATGAAGAAAATATTGATAATTCCAAGACTAGCTTAAAGTTTTCCATCGATATTTCAATTTTTCTTTTGCTGAATCAATTTGATTGGTTATATTTACAGAGGTTTGGAAAACAACACTGTCGTTTGTTAGAATCAACATCGCAAACACAGAAAGCATTAGTAGAGTGTGACAGATATGGAGAAGAAAAGTCTGATATACCAGAACATAGGGTTTCTAGTGCACTTTGAGTTTTGCACACTTCTTATTGAATATTAAAAATTAATAGTATCCGTAAGAGGAGCAGTGAGAAAAAGTTTTCCGCTACAAAATTTCACTCATCGGATTTCTAAAGTGTCTCATCATGGAAAATATTTGAATTCATACATTTTGCTTCTCGCAAAAGATAGTAAGATGTGCGCTTCTAATGGCTCTGCAAATCACAACAAGAGCAACTATTGATAGGTTGCCGATCAATCAAGTTTCTAATCATTTAATTGGTTAATGACTAATTGATTATTGATGAATGGTTCTTTCATGTTTTGCTCTCAGTAGCTTTTTGGCATCGCTCTAGTAAGTATAAAGAATGAGCATGAGATTATTTCATTTACAGATACAGAACAGTCAAAAATCAATTCACATAATATCTGTACATCTTTTACTTAAAGCAGTGTCCCGTACAAGTAATGATCGCTAACTTCACACTGGTAGAAGGAGTAATCTACACCATTATCATTGTAAGCCTCATTATGGCACTAATACT